TGTGTGTGTGTGTGTGTGTGTGTGTGTGTGTGTGTGTGTGTGTGTGTGTGTGTGTGTGTGTGTGTGTGTGTGTGTGTGTGGTGGAAAGGGAGTTTCATATTCTTTGGAGAGCTTGGCAGGAAGGTCTTTCGTACGTCTGTTATTAGGAGGGCTCATTTCTTGGTGATATATGCTTATAGGAGAGGAGAATTGCTGTTGCATTGTGGGTAAAGATTTGGAGGTGGAGCATGTGCCTTCGTAAATTGTTCCTCTTTTCCCTGTTACCGTGTGAATCAAAGAAAGTTTGAAATCTTGCCTACCATCAAAAGTTTTCACTCTCGGCTCTTTGTCCGTGGATGGCTGTGGAATTTTCATTTCTTTGCCTCGTCCCTGGCGAAATTTGCCAGGGGTACCATCGCTAACGAGGAGGTGTGGAAAGTGCTCCTCGATAGCATGGTCTTACACTGTACGCGAGAGGAAACGGAAAAGGGTAGATTAGTGGGCTATTAGGAATTACGGCCAGTACACAATAGTTGGCACGGGTAATAGTAATAACCCGTTGACACCATGTACTGGCCTCTACCAGGGACTTTATTTTTTTGTATTAGGAAGTATGGATTCGGGGGAGAAAGGCGCGTATTATTCCCAAAGGGACCTACCCGTAGAATTTAATATTTGTGGTTGTTGGGAATTAGGAATTACGGAATCGGGAGGTTTGGGTGTGTATTTTCCTGGAAAGGACTTACTCGTAGATTTAATAATTTCTGAAAAAAAGGGGGGACATATGCGTAGGATTTATTTTAATTTGATCTGAAATGGCTGATTCAGAGGAAATGTGTACAATAGTTTTTGAAGGGCCGTACCCGGTAGGACCCCCCGGCGGGTGTACAGTATTAGTCGGTTAGACACACGCTGGCCCGAGGAAAGACCAGCACGGCTCGGAAAAAGGAAGCGGAAATAGGACGCGTGGAGGGAGTGCAGAGGAAAAGGTAGGTTAACGGATTTCAGGCGGGAAAATAGTAGAGCAAAGAAGTAGAACCTTGAATTTCGAATTTCCAGGTGATTGTCGGATTCGGAAACGCTCGTGAACTACCTGGGAGTTCGGTGGCAGTCTGGCGCGTGGACAGAGCCCGCTCAAGAGGGATTGAGCGACTGCCGAGGACCATACTGGGATCCGAGGTAGGATTGTGTAGCCAATCAGAGCCTGGAAGATAAGAGGCAGTGTACGCACAAGAGAAGGCCAAAGCATAAATGAGGGCAAAGGCCAGACAGGTCATCATTCGCTCATAGGGTGGCAAAGTATAGGCGGGCTGTAAGGCGCTGGGTTAGTGGTAAGCCTCCTGATGAGACCGGAGCGCACCCGGTCGAAACGTTGAGGAACGCGTGCGTGGTATTTCACGCATGTTGTACACGCTGAGTCCGTTAATGGAAACATTGATGCTGCTTGTAAACCGCAATCAGCCATTGCTTGTCTTTCTTCTTCTCAGATGGCAAACACACCTTCCAAGGATGGAGACTCTTTTCTGTTGATTGAGTGTTTCAGCAGTTTGCCCCATAGCTCCAAAACCAGCACTGGGCTCCTCGTGCACACAGATCAGGGTAATCGAAACAGCTAACGTATCTCCTACACTCTTTTTCCAGGAGGAAAACCCTTAAAACCACCCGTTCAGCCAAGCCTCCTTGTACGCACGCAGCTACCTTCCCAGGCTCCGGAGCCTCCAACTGGGCCTTTTCTTAGTGACCTGCACAGGACACCATAGGCCGTATGCTCGTACCATG